CTCTGAGCGTACCACTCACGAAGCTGCTGGGGCGTAAGGGTCTCGCGCGTACGCCGCTGGAGCTGGATCTGGCCACTGCCAGAAGCTCCCGGCTGACCAGCTCCAGGGCGACTGCCACTACGACCGCCGCCACAACCCCAACTAGCGTACCACTCACGAAGCTGCTTGGGCGTGAGGGACGCGCGCGGACGTCGCTGGAGCTGCATCTGGCCACCGCCAGTAGCAGCAGTAGCAGCAGTAGCAGCAGTAGCACCTAGGGCAGCAGCACCTAGGGTTTGACAGGGCGCACTGGGCGCTGCAGAGGCGGCTCGCGGGCTGCAGGGGTGGCTCGCGGGCTGCAGGGGCAGTGCGCTGGCTGCAAGAGGCAGGCGCGCTGGCTGCAGGGGCGGTTCGCGGGCTGCAGGGGAGGCTCGAGGGCTGCAGACGGGCGGCGCGCGGGCTGCAAGGGTCTGCGCGCGGGCGGCTTGCACGGGGCGGCGCGTCGCGGGGCGGGCAGGGGCGGCGCGCAGGCAGGCAGGGCGGACGGGCGTCGCGGCGGGCTGGGGCAGCCCGCTCTGGCGACGCGACGGGCACGGGCAGGGCCGACGGGCGACGTGACGGGCTGCAGAGGCGCGCGGCGCGACGGGCTGCAGGGGCGCACGACGGGACGGGCTGCAGGGGCGCACGGCGTGGCGGGCAGCAGGGGCGCGCGACGCGACGGGCAGCAGGGGCGCTTACCAGGGGCGGGTGCAGGGCAGGGCTGCGATGGGCGGTTAGGTCAGGGCCGCAACGGGGCGGCTGTAGGGCAGGGCCGCGACGAGGCGGCGGCAGAGCAGGGCCGCGACGGGGCGGCAGCAGGGCAGGGCCGCGACGGGGCGGCGGTAGAGCAGGGCCGCGACGAGCGGCTGAGGGCAGGGCCGCGACGGGTGGCGGCAGGGCAGGGCCGCTACGGGCGGCGAGGTCAGGGCCGCAACGGGCCGTTTGGGCAAGGCCGCGAGGGGCCGAGAGGGCAGGGCCGCTACGGGCGGCAGTAAGGCAGGGCGCGCGACGGCGCAGGTGAGGCAGGCGCGAGGTGCGCTTCGGGCAGGGCAGGAAAAAAAACGATCGTGGTGGGCCCTTAAAAAAAACGTTCCCACTAGGGAACCTGCTCTGAAACCATGTGAAAGATAGAACAAGGAATGATTGCATTGAGCAGCATGAGGAGTACAAGTAGGAACCCTAAAGTATTGTACCCCATATGAACCACCCCACTACAGCCTACACTGGTTATAGCATATAAGTTTGACACCTGCGTTGACCTGAAGGGGATAATATGCTAGACCTACGTCGGGCACTTGAATACTTCATATCTTCTCCTGATGTGGGACTCACGTACACGGCCAACCTAACAGCTACTCTTCACTTACGCAGCTACGTGGACGCGGATCATACGGGAGATGCAGATAACAAACGCTCTCGGACGGGATTTGTACTCCAACTTGAGCCTGCTCGGCTCATCTCCCGGAACTCTCAGAAGCAGGAGTTTATTGCTCTTTCGTCAGCCGAAGCAGAATTCGTCGCCGCAAGCACAGCTGTTCGTGAAGGACTGTACCTAATGGAGCTCCTGCAGGAAGCGAAAGTAACAATGAACTAGCGCTTCGCGTTACTCAGCGACAACCAGAGCGCCATAAACATCGCGAACAAACCCGGTTTTGTGAATCGCACGAAACATATCGCACTGTGTTACGTCTTCGTCAAGGACGAGATTGACAAAGGCAAAGTCAAGCTCACCTATTGCCCAACAGGTGACATGGCAGCAGACTTTCTGACAAAGATGTTGCCACATCAGAATTTCATCACTGTGCAAATCTCTGCGGGATCGTGACGAAATCCCACGTGGCTCACCTTCAGGAATGAAGGGGAGTGTTGGAGTATTGGAATTACCAGTACCGCGTGTGCTCATATAGAGCACGCACGCGAAGGTCAATAGTCGCAGGAAGTCAACGGTCGCGACTGTTGACTATCCCGCAACCGTAATTGGAGGTTACGCACTGCAATGTGGTAACCGTCAAAGAGTCGATGATCGCAATAGTCACTAATACTGTAGCGATGACTGCGAAACAGTTAAATAAGGGAATGTACCCCTTAGAGTACATGGATAGCTATGAATGCTATATAGACCCCTATCTTTTCTGTCAGAAACAAATATGTGTATGTATTTGTTTCATGTATAAACTGCCTATAGTAGTGTAGTGTAGTGTAGTGTAACCCCCTGTTTGGTGGTGTACCTTCTTTGCCTTGTTTCTCGTTTGTACTTCTTGGGCCTTTGCCCATTCTAGTGCACCCTCTCCTACTCTCGATAGTTGCCACCCAAAACCCTAAGCACTACTATCCTTTCTAACATGGTATTGAGCCTGTAAGTTCCTACTGCTTGTATCTTTTTACCATGGGCCCACCACGCTCCTAGTACTCTGCTCGCCCGCATGCTGCTGCCCCGTTGCGCCATGCCCGCCCCGTCGCCCCGTCGACCCTGCTGTCATGGCGACGAGCTGGGCGGCTTACGCCGCCCCGTCGCCCCGTCGACTATGCTGTCATGGCGACGAGCTGGGCGGCTCGCGCTGTCCCGTCGCCTCGTCACCTGCCCCGTGCTGCCCCGCCCCCCGTCCGTTACGAGCAGCCGCAGCCACGCACGGCCGCAGCCACGCACGGCCGCAGCCACGCACAGCCGCACGCAGCTGCGTACGGCCGCGTGCAGCCGCGCACAGCCACGCGCAGCCGTGCCGCTCTCCTACCCCGCACCTGCTGCTCGTACGCCAGTGAAAGGGGGGGAGGGGGGGGGGCGCGTGGGTGACGCAGCTCCTGCCGCCGCCGTCCGCCTTCTCCCTCTCCCTGCTGATCGTGCAGCCGTGAAGGGGGTGGGGGAAGGGTGTGGGGGTGGCGGGGGTGACACGCCAGCAGCCGTCCCTCCACCTCTCCTCTCCCCCCTCCCTTGCTACTCTCACTGCAGTGGGGTGGGGGGAGGGTGCAGGGGTGGCGGGGGTGACCAGATAGCGCCAGCCCGCCTCCTCTCTCTTCCTGCCGCCCCTCCTGGGGTGGGGGGGGAGGGGAGGGTAATGGGGTGGCGGATAGTGGAGGGTTGAGGGGGTGGCAGGAGTGATGTTTCAGCACCAGCCGCCCTCCTCCTCCTCTCTCTCCCCTCTCGCTTCTCTCTCTCTCTGCTGCTGCCCGTGCCTGCCCTGACTGCTCTGCCTCTCTCTGTCACTTCTGCTGCTGTGGGGGGAGGTTTGGGGAGAAGAGGGGAGGTTGAAGGAGGGAGGCCGCCGTGAAATTAGCAGCTCCAGTCGCCCTAAATTAGCAGCTCCAGTCGCCCGTGAGCCCGTTGCTCCAGTCGCCCGTGAGTCAGTTGCTCCCGCCGCTCGTCTAGCCGCGGAGCCAGTTACTCCAGTTGCCCGTGTGCCAGTTGCTCCAGTTGCCCGTGTGCCAGTTGCTCCAGTTGCCCGTGTGCCAGCAGCTTCAGCCGTCGCCCACCACCTCATCTCTCTCTCTCCTCCTCCTCACATGCCCTCTCTTACTTCAGCTGGACCTTGGTATATCCTTCAGGGGGTGTTCATTGCACCAGCTTCTACTGTAGGCAGTTTAGGGGGTGTGTCAGAAACAAATATGTGTATAAACTGCCTATAGTATAGTAGTGTAGTGTAGTGTAGTGTAGTGTAGTGTAGTGTAGTGTAGTGTAGTGTAACCCCCTGTTTGGTGGTGTACCTTCTTTGCCTTGTTTCTCGTTTGTACTTCTTGGGCCTTTGCCCATTCTAGTGCACCCTCTCCTACTCTCGATAGTTGCCACCCAAAAGCCTAAGCACTACTATCCTTAGTATCCTAACAATTTCAACTTATTATAAACAAGGTCATTCAAACTTCCGCTGTCTTAACTTCACTTGGCTAGCTTTATCCTATCCACTTCGATTTCTTCGTTATATCAACATTAATATCCAGTTTCTGCTCCTCCGTTCGCGCCCCCCTCATGTTCCACCGCCCGCTGTTCTCCTATCGCCTCCTCCGTCGTCCCTTACTGTCCCTTCTAATATGTTCTCCTCCTTATATTATATAATTACCACTCAGTTTCGAATTTTCCTTCTCTCTTTTCACCCCTTATCCCTTCTTCCCACTTCTCTCCCCCATTTCTCCTCCTTAGATAGGAGCAATTTAAAAGATACATGAAACGTATTGTAGTTATGGATGAACTAAACGACGATGCGAGATTTGCGTGACGCTTTAGCGAGACTTCGAGTCAGGTTCGGAAGCTCCTGACTGGTCGCTGAACTACGCACCCGCGACACCGATCACCAAGCCTACCTCCACCGTTTCGGGCGAGCCTATCTGACGTAGCCTGTTTTGGAGGTGCCAGCTATTTTTCTGTCGGTCCGGTACGGTTGAGAGGTGCTCCGATTGGATTAGGTGAGTCTTTTGGTACTGATGGACAGGAGATGATGCTTCCCCACTATTAGTAAGTGCCCACTAGTACTAGAGCAAGGTAGTTTACAAATTGTGGCTTTAAATCGAGGTTTTAGTGCTGTGAAACACGAGCGAGAAGGCAGTAGCACGGGGCTTGCGTGGTTGCAGCAAAGGAAACGTGTTTCGCCTCGCAATGCGTGTGCCGCGGGGATCAGCGTGCGCGTCACGACATCGATGACCGCACACTGGTCGTGCAGCAACGGATGCTCTTTCCACTTGCGAACCAATGAATTCCGCAGCTCGAGCGTAGCGCGCCATCTCTTTCGTCGCCCCAAACGCGATTGGAGACACCGGGTCGAGCAGAGTCGCAGAAGAACCCTCCTCTCCGCGGCATCCATGTCAGCATCTAGGGTTGCTGTCCGTTCGCGACGCGCATGAGCCAATGGGCTCTCCTGCCCCTCCTCGTATTCCTAGACGCGTTAGATGATCCTTGAGCCGATCCGAACCCATTTCCACCGCCTGCCAACCCCCCCCACCCATTTCCTTATCATCTACCCGCATTCCCTGCTCCCCTGGCCATCGTCCATCCCGCCATGCCGAGCCAATCCCGGGGGCGGCACGTCGCTTCGTCGTCCGCCGCCCCCTCGCGCGCGGGCGGGCGCGCGGACGCGCAGTGGGACGCGCACTGGGATCCGCCGGCGTTCCGCCGCTGGCTGCTGGGCTTCGCGGCGGTGCGCTTCGACCTCGAGCAGGGCCAGCTGGTCGAGGCGCTCTTCCCCGCGGGCGCGCTCAGCGCGGAGGAGGAGACTGACGTGGCGTTCTCGTCGTTCCCCGACTCCATGTCCGCCGTGCACTCGCGCGCCTCGCTCTACGACTGCCTCTTCTTCTTCCGCATCCGCCGCCGCGGCGTTCCGCCTGCCCTCGCCGCCACGAGCGGTGGGGTTGATAACGGGGCGGGCAGCAGCGGCGACGGCACGGCGGAGGGGGCTGGGCGGAGTGCGCTCGCCGCGCAATCTCCGCTGCTGCAGCAGCAGCACGCGCACGCTAGTGTCGGTCGGGGGGCAGCAGGAGGAGCAGCCGCGCGGGCGACCAGTCGGGCGGAGCGGTCCGCCGCGTCCGCGCGGAGGCAGTCCGCCAGCCCGCCGCGGTGGGACCCGGGAACCAATCGCGCGACGACACCTGGCACGACCCCGCGGCGAGGCATCAGCGTGGGGTACGGCGGGGGCCCAGGGGGGGCGATGGCGGAGAGCATCAGCGCGCCCGCGTCGTCGCTCACCAGCCCCACGGGGCTCGTCGCCGCCGCCGCCTCGCCCTTCGCGCGGCTCGACAGATGCGCCACGGAGCCGCTCGCGGGCGGCGAGGGGGGAGACGAGGCGGAGGTGCAGTGGCGCGCGCAGGCGGAGGCCGGCGCGCTGAGGCACTCCGCCAGCGCGCGGGGGAGCGCGGGGCAGCGGGAGGAGGAGGAAGCGGCGGTGGGCAGATCCGCGTCCATGGGGGCGGGGAGACGCGCGATGCCCGCGCACAGCCAAGACGAGGACGACAGAGGGGGGCACGGGGGGTCTGGGGGCGGAGCAGCAGCAGCAGGGGGGGCGGGGAGGGGCGGGGCGCGGTACCTATACGGGTTTGTGTTCAACCGGCAGCGGCACGACTCACGGTTGCCACGGGGCGGCGAGCAGAAGTCGGTGGTGGTGCTCTCAGAGCGCCCCTTCTCCGCCGCCTTCCGCCGCCTCGCCCAGGTCGTCGGCCCGCTCTACTTCGACCGCGGACCAATCGCCTTCGTCCAGGTGGCCGCGTGGGTCTCGCTGTGGCCTGCACCGTACCAGCCGAGCGTGGCGGGCGGCGGAGGAGTGGGCGGGGCGGCGGGCGGCGGGGGCGGCGTGATGGAGCTGCCGGTGGGGCCGCGCACGTCCCTGCGCGTGCAGCTGCCGCCCGCCCACACGCTGCCGCCCGCGTCGCACTCGGCGCTGGACGACTTCACGGCCGCCATGGCGCCCGCCCCCCTCTCCACCTCCGCTCCCCAGGTCAGTCAGCCAGCTGGGTGAGCCGCCCAGGTTAGGTCATGGCAGACAGGCGCACAGCATGTAGCGCACTTCTCCTCCAGCTGCTGCTGAGACCACACCCACGCTCACCCTCCCCACTACCACCTCCCATTGTCCCTCCATTCACCCCCTGGTCATGCTAGCCAGGCAGCACCAGGGGCACACCCAGTGGCACCTCCACTTATTCCTCACTCTCACCCTCTCATTCACCCTCCTCATGCTGCCACCCCCCAACCCCCGACCGACGCGGACGTGTTTGGCATCCTGAAGGGAGTGGCGGCGCAGCTGAGCCAACACCCTTCCCTCACCCCCTCTGCCCCCCTCCACGTCCACAGGGCATATTCCACGATGCGGACGTGTTTGGCATCCTGAGGGGCGTGGCAGCGCAGCTGTGGGTGCTGTGGGAGCTGGTGCTGCTGGGCGAGCCGCTGCTCGTCATCGCCCCCACGCCCGCGCAGTGCTCTGAGGCCGTCGCCGCCCTCGTGGGGCTCATCGCGCCGCTCCCCTGCTCGCTGGACTTCCGCCCCTACTTCACCATCCACGACCCCGACTTCCCCGCCCTCAATGCCCTTAGAGACGGCGACCCGCTGCCCGCCGTGGTGCTGGGGGTGACGAACCTCTTCTTCCTCAAGGCGCTCAAGCACCTCCCGCATGTGCTGTCTGTGGGGCGGCCTCCGCACGGGGGGCAGGGCGTGGCGGGGGCGGCGCGGTATGGGGCGGGGGCGGGCGGCAGCTTGCAGCCGAACGGGCAGGTGGCGGTGAGGGAGAGCGCGGGGCGGCTGCCACATCAGCAGCAGTCGCCACTGCGACGCCTGGCCACTGGTGGGCTGCTCAGGTGAGGGGTGGTGCAGAGGGTGGCAAGAAGAAGTGGTGCGTGTAGGGCGGGTGTGGGTGAAAGGCAGGCAGGGGTGCTTGAGTGGTGGGGCAGCAGCAGCCCCTGCTGCTGTGGCTAGCAGCCCCTGCTGCTGTGGCTAGCAGCCCCTGCTGCTGTGCCTAGCAGCCTCGTTCTTCCTGTGGGGGCCTTTGCTAAAAGCAAGGTTGAGTCCGGTAAATGTTTGCTGACCACCACTCCTTTCCCCTCCTCTCTGTTCACCCGTCCCCATCCACGCGCCACCCCTGCCTGTGCCTGTGCCTGTGCCTGTGCCTGTGCCTGTGCAGCATGCTGGCGGCGGGCAGCAAGGGCTTGGCGCGCATGAGGGGGGAGGGGCCGCTGTCGCTCATGGGGGAGCACCGCGAGGCGCTGTGGACCAACCACGTGCCCGCTGTCAAGCCCGACACCGCCGTGCTCAACCGCCTTCTAGACGCCTCCACCGCTCTGCACCCCTCCGCCTCCCACCGCACCCACCGGACCGGCTCCTCCACCACCAACACTGCTGCTGCTGCTTCTGGCCCTGGTGACGCCAATTCCCTCGCCTCTGCTGCTGCTGCCGCTGCTGCAGGGGTGGCAGCAGGCGGGGGAGCGGGCGGGCGCCCTGCATCGGCGTCTGCCCCCCCGTCCGCCGCGGCGTCTCTCTTCAGCCTGCCGGGCGCCGTGGCGGGCTCACTGCTGGCGGGCGTCACAGGCGTGGCCGGGCTGGACGATGCACCACAGGGCAGCACAGGGGGAGCAGCAGGGGGAGTGGGGGCGCGGGGGGGGGCAGTGAGTGGGGAGACAGTAGCGATGGTGAACAACGAGGTGCTGCGGCGCCACTTCATCGAACTCACCACCAACTTCCTCGCCCCCTTCGGCCCTTTCCTCCGCGCCGCCGCCCCGCCGCCCGACGCCTCGCCCTACTGTGACCCGCCGCCCTTGCCGCCCTTCGACGCCGCGGAGTTTCTCGGGCAGCTTGCCGCCCGCGGGCCGGGGAAGTTTCTCGCGAAGCGGCTGCAGGCGGGCAGGTGGCTGGAGGTGTACAGAAGGTTCCTGGAAGGTCCGAACTTCATGCCGTGGTTTCAGCGGCGGCGCGCCGTGGCGGAGGCGGAGCAGCACCGGCTGTGGCGGGCGGCACGGCTGCGGGCGGACGTGAGGAAGGCGGTGGGCGGCATGGGCGAGGCGGACCTGGTGGAGGCGTTTCTGTGCGTTGAGAGACACATGGCGGTGGAGAGCAAGGTGAGGCGCACGGGTGGGTGGTGTGCGTGGTTGGGTGTGGTGGCGCATGGGGGAGGCAGACCTGTGTGTTGGGAGACCCATGACGGTGGAGAGCAAGGTGAGGCACGAGGGTGGGTGCTGTGTGTGTGTTTGTGATGTGGTGTGGAGTGGGGTGGTGTGGTGGTGGGTGTGTGTATATATGTGCGCATCTCAGCATACTCACCCCTGTGTGCATCCTCTCTCCCCCCTGCCTTCCACCCTCTTGGCACGGTGTGTGTGTGTGTGAGCGCATGAGCAGGCGTGGCGGAGGGCAGGCGAGTCCCCAGCGGTGGGCAAGCTGAGGGGCGACCTGCGCGTGCTGTGGGCGCACATGCCGCCCGCCACGCAGCGCCTCCTGCTCCTCTCCCCCGCCCACGCCGCCTCCCTCCAGCTGCCACCCTCCGCCGCTCCGGACGTTGCCGGGCGGGGCTCGTCAACTTCTTCTGGGAGTGGTGAGTCAGGAGACGCTCGGTGGAGGCAGCGGGCGAGTGAGGGCGCGGGCAGTGGCAGGGAGGGGGGGAGTGGGGCAGGGGCGGCACAAGGAGCAGCGGCAGCGGCAGGGGGGAGGGGAGGGGGGTGGGCTGGTTGGCTGTTTGGAAGGAGGAACGTGGAGAGCGCGGGGAGTGGGAGTGGTGCGGGGGAGAGGCGGGTGACAGCAGGCAGTGATGGGGGGATGGGTGAGGAGGCAGCAGAGGCAGGGCGGGGAGGACCAGCCGACACACCTGGGGCTGCTGCAGCAGCCGCTGCGCCTGGTTCTGCTTCTGCTGGGATGGACCAGAGCGCTGGCTCAGGTGATCCGTCAGGTGATTCTTCAGGTGGTGTGGGCGGCAATGGGGGACAGAGTGGGACGGTGGAGATGGTGGAGGCAGCACAGCACCTCTCAGCGCTCGTGGCCAATCTCAGCCTGCCACCTGTCATCGCCCTCAACGGCGAATCACACCCCTCATCCAACCCTGGCAAGGCCTGGTCTGAAGCTTCCAGCCCTCCCCGAGGCTCCTCTGCAGGCTTGGGCCGAACGTCAAGCGGCGCTTCTCCACGAACAGCCGGGATAGGATGGGGAACAGACATGTGGGACGGCAGCAGCAGCGGCTTCACGAGCACCAGCGCTCGGAGCAGCATCCCTGCCAACCCCGCCACCACCACCCCCGGCAGCAGCGCCATGGGCAGCAGCACAGGCCACGTGGCGGGTGCACGGTTCGCCGTGTCCCCCGTGGTGCCGTTTGGGCGCCGCCCCGGCCTGTCAGTGGGGCGCACCCCTCCTCGCCTCTCGTCCTCCGCGCCCGGCACGCCCCTCCACCTGCACCCAGGAGGCACCTTCCTGCACGCCCGCCCTGTCCATGCGCACGCCGCCGCGCCGCACCAAGGAGGGAGGTACACGGGTGGGGGTGACGCAGGGGCGTTTGGCGGCGAGCGGTTGAGTGCGTGTGCGAGCGCAAGGGAGGAAGTGGGGAGTGGAGGGGCGGGGGCCATGGAGGGCGGGGGGGCCATGGAGGGCGGGGGGGTGAGGGTGGGGCGCACGGCCACGGAGCCGGTGCTGCCGTCGTCCTTCCACCCACTCGCTTGATGCGCCACCCACTCCTCGCCCCATGGCAGGGGGCTGGCAGGCAGGCGTGGACGAGCAGATGGCTGTGCTGCTGCTGGGATGGGCGCTGCTTGTGGCTTGCACAGCAGCCGCACTGCACGCTGTGGCGGGGCAAGTTGTCGGGCAGATTGGCGGGTGGCTGACGATCACCCGCGGCCTCCAAAGGCCTTTCCAGTCGCACATTCTGTTGCTGGTGCTCGCCCGCTCTCAAACTAGAGATGCGCCATTAATTGCCTTAGCTAGAGGTCACTCGGTAGCGAATCAATGGTGAGTGCATGTATACGGGGGCTTAGGGAATGCCGAGACGATGCATTCTGTGTGTGTCACCTCCTGTAAGGGGCACGGCGGCTTTTAGGGTTTAGGGAAGGGGAGGGGGGAGGGAGGAGCGGAGCGGTGGGTGAGAGGGCCCTGGCTGCCTGCAGGAGATTATATTCTTGCCTTTCCATTTTTCCATCTGCAGGAAAAATATTAGCGTTTCAACTGGCAGTCATAGTTCCAACTTTGGGTAAGTTCCAGTTCCTTATATCCCTGGTCAGAGTATTTTTATTCCAAGACGCATTCAGCCCAACAAGAACCTTATTATTTGTTCCAGCAAAAACAACAGGTCACAAAGGCTGGAAATTGACATAGACTGTTTTGTACTGTAGCGTTTCACATTTTGAACAAGGCAGGTCACAAAAGACCGGGGATCGTCAATATTCTGTCGCCAGTGTACCCCATGGTGTAAGGCTATACTGAAATACCTGTCTTCAACCCAGCAGAACCTCAAACTGCTAGCGCGTACAGCACGAACTAAACCAGCACCGTGGCGATTCCGCGAACAGAAACGTCGACTGCTGCTCGCCTACACGCGATCTCCGTCCGCCGTCGCGCCACGCCTCCGCGCATTCACCCTCCGCAAGCGCCTCCCCTTCCGCTTCCGCCAGCAGCTTTTCGATCTCCACCTCGATCGCCCCGTCGCAGCGCGCCGTCCCCCTCGCCGGCCTTCCCCCGCTAGCTCCAGCCGCGTGGAGGCGCGCGGCGCGATGTCGTTTATGCGCGGCGACCTGCTGCAGAAGGCGCGGTTGCTGATGCGCGGCGGCGTGGTCGACCCGCCCAAGTGGCTCGACGCGCTCTCCAAGTGCGTGGCGGGGATGGAGGGGGCGGGGGAGGGGGAAGGATGGGTGGGGGGATGGGGGGAAGGGAAATGAGGTGGGGGGACTGAGCGTCCCCCCCGCGTCCCCACACGGTGATGGACTCACAACTCCCCCCTATTGCTCCGCCCCTCCCAGTCCCCCCACGCTCATTCCCCCTCTCTTTGCCTCCCCTCCTTCCCCCTCCGCTTCTCCCCATCCGCCTACTCCCCCCCGCGCCCCTCAGAGTGCCTCCACAGCCCAAGGCGAGGCGCTGCCCCAAGGCGAGGAGGATAGAGTTCCCAGAGGACCCTCTGGTGGAGTCGTATTACGCAAGACACCCCGAGGCCAAGCTGCAGGCATACCGGTGAGCCGCTGCCGCCTCCCTCGCCTCCCCTCATTCTATTCCGTTCCTCCTCTGTGCTGCTTGCATTCAAACCTCTCTCCTCTTTGCATATGCCTTGACGTGTTGCGCTTAACCCGAGCTGATTCTTCCATTCTCCTCCTGCTTTGTGTCCCTTTTCCTATGCGTGTGCATATCACCTCATTGTGCGTGTCACCTCATTGTGCGTGTCACCTCATTGTGCGTGTCACCTCATTGTGCGTGTCACCTCATTGTGCATGTCACCTCATTGTGCATGTCACCTCATTGTGCATGTCACCTCATTGTGCATGTCACCTCATTGTGCATGTCACCTCATTGTGCATGTCACCTCATTGTGCATGTCACCTCATTGTGCATGTCACCTCATTGTGCATGTCACCTCATTGTGCATGTCACCTCATTGTGCATGTCACCTCATTGTGCATGTCACCTCATTGTGCATGTCACCTCATTGTGCATGTCACCTCATTGTGCATGTCACCTCATTGTGCATGTCACCTCATTGTGCATGTCACCTCATTGTGCATGTCACCTCATTGTGCATGTCACCTCATTGTGCATGTCACCTCATTGTGCATGTCACCTCATTGTGCATGTCACCTCATTGTGCATGTCACCTCATTGTGCATGTCACCTCATTGTGCATGTCACCTCATTGTGCATGTCACCTCATTGTGCATGTCACCTCATTGTGCATGTCACCTCATTGTGCATGTCACCTCATTGTGCATGTCACCTCATTGTGCATGTCACCTCATTGTGCATATCACCTCATTGTGCATGTCACCTCATTGTGCATATCACCTCATTGTGCATATCACCTCATTGTGCATGTCACCTCATTGTGCATATCACCTCATTGTGCATATCACCTCATTGTGCATGTCACCTCATTGTGCATGTCACCTCATTGTGCATGTCACCTCATTGTGCATGTCACCTCATTGTGCATGTCACCTCATTGTGCATGTCACCTCATTGTGCATGTCACCTCATTGTGCATGTCACCTCATTGTGCATGTCACCTCATTGTGCATGTCACCTCATTGTGCATGTCACCTCATTGTGCATGTCACCTCATTGTGCATGTCACCTCATTGTGCATGTCACCTCATTGTGCATGTCACCTCATTGTGCATGTCACCTCATTGTGCATGTCACCTCATTGTGCATATCACCTCATTGTGCATGTCACCTCATTGTGCATGTCACCTCATTGTGCATGTCACCTCATTGTGCATGTCACCTCATTGTGCATGTCACCTCATTGTGCATGTCACCTCATTGTGCATGTCACCTCATTGTGCATGTCACCTCATTGTGCATGTCACCTCATTGTGCATGTCACCTCATTGTGCATGTCACCTCATTGTGCATATCACCTCATTGTGCATATCACCTCATTGTGCATATCACCTCATTGTGCATATCACCTCATTGTGCATATCACCTCATTGTGCATATCACCTCATTGTGCATATCACCTCATTGTGCATCACACCTCATTGTGCATATCACCTCATTGTGCATATCACCTCATTGTGCATATCACACCTCATTGTGCATATCACACCTCATTGTGCATCACACCTCATTGTGCATATCACCTCATTGTGCATATCACCTCATTGTGCATGTCACCTCATTGTGCATATCACCTCATTGTGCATATCACCTCATTCTGCATATCACCTCATTGTGCATATCACCTCATTGTGCATATCACCTCATTGTGCATATCACCTCATTGTGCATATCACCTCATTGTTCATATCACCTCATTGTGCATATCGCCCGACCTCCACAACTCATCATCTGCTCAACCCTGCCCCCTCTCCTCCTCCCTCTTCCCCCCACCCCCACCCACAGGCGGAGTTCACACAGGCGGAGCAGGAGGAGGAGGAGCGGGCGGTGCAGGAGTGGCGCCGGGCCATTCGAGAGGGGCGCCAGCCGGCAGCAGTGCGGTGCAGTGCGGTGGAGGAGGTGCAGCAGGAGGAGCGCGCTCACATGCTAGCTGGCCTTGAAGCCATGGGGGCTCTGCTCGAGGCGGCTGCTGCCGAAGCTGAGGTTGAGGCTCGGGCTGCGCAGAAAAGCGTTGGGAGATAGGATGGAGGAGCGTACAAACAAGGACACCGTGTCGCACCGCTGAGTCAAATACGAGACTGCAAGCGTGCCACTTAGAGAAACCCCTTTGCATCTGTGTAGTGTAGCCCCCATGGTGGATTGTCAGGGGGCATCGTGTTTTTTCAGGGCATGTGGCGTCGACACGAAACCTCTGAGCTCTCAAGATGGTTGTTTCCAGGTTTTCTCTAGTCTAGTTGGCGAATTCAAGATGCTGGTGCTGTCCCTCACGCCCGCTCCTTCACTGACGTGGAGTTATGTCCTTCACTATGGAGTTGCCTGTGCAGTGCATGCCTGCTCTCATGTACTCATAGTTCGTTGCCATGGTTCACGCATTCAAATATTCACATGCTATTCGTGTGTATGGCTTAACAATGCGAGCAATTGGGCCATCTGCATGCAAGGTGGCATGCATGCGAATGGCGTAGAACTACCGGTACTAGGGTTCTGTGGCATGTCATTGAGGTTGCTCTTATTATCAGGTCACATTATCAAGTCAACTTACTTCAGCGATGAGCACATGATTGTGCAATGCAGCGCGAGAGTATGTGTTTGGTGCACAGCACAGGTGCATGGATGAGGTATCGCAGCACAGGTGCATGGATGAGGTATCACAGCCCTGCCACCACTCCACCGCACCTGCCACCACTCCACCGCACCTAGCATGCCAATGCTGCTCACACCTCCCCATTCTCCACTTGCATGTCTCTACAAGCACCATCAGCATCAGCATCAGCATCAGCATCACAGCACAGCACAAGCTCCTGTGTGAATGTACAAACAGCTGACCACACCACGCTGCCTGTCCCTTACTGTGTCAGCATGCCACCACGTCAGCATGGCACCATGTCAGCATGCCACCACGTCAGCATGCCACCACATCAGCATGCCACCACGTCAGCATGGCACCACGTCAGCATGGCATCAAGTGGTCTTGAGCGCCACCATCATGGCCTTGCGCAGGCACGCCCCTGCCGCTGCTATCACACCACCCAAGGCTGACGGGGCTGGAGGGACTGGAGGTGAACTGTCCTGCTGTTGCGCGTCGCCCTGCCATGCCGTGGGGAGGGGGGAAGGGAGAGCAACGAGCACCCAGACGGCATGATGCCGCAGCTCAAGCCCAGAGTTGAGACGGCATGCACACAAGCACAGGGCCTCCTCACACCCACGGGATGTGGTGAGCTCACCACTTCCCTCGATTTTCAGATGAGTAGACTCAGTACTACAGATCGTTACTCTTAGTAGGCTTGCTGCGTTTCGAATCCAACAAAATTCAACTGGGATGTGGTGAGCTCACCACAGCGGTGGAGAGCAGCGAGAGCAGCTGCTGCTTCTCCTCGCCTGACTGCGCTGTGTGGGGCAGCTCCACGTCAGCCACTGCCAGGTGGCCGCCCGGCATTGGCCAGTCGTTGCAGGCGGTGAGGGTGAGCGTGGCCCCGTTGGCCCACTTCACCTTGAATGCACCCTCCCCCGCCATCTTCACCATGTAGCTGCAATCCCCAGGCATGACAGGTGCGGTGACGGGGGGGCGAGGAGATATGAGAAGAGGAGAGGAGAGGAGAGGAGAGGAGAGGAGAGGAGAGGAGAGGAGAGGAGGGGAGGGTAGACAAGAGGAGAGCAGAGGAGAGAGGAGAGGAGAGGAGAGAAGACGAGATGCGTGGAGAGGAGAGGAGAGGAGAGCAGAGGAGAGGAGGGGAGGGTAGACAAGAGGAGAGCAGAGGAGAGAGGAGAGGAGAGGAGAGAAGACGAGATGCGTGGAGAGGAGAGGAGAGGAGAGCAGAGGAGAGGAGGGGAGGGTAGACAAGAGGAGAGCAGAGGAGAGAGGAGAGGAGAGGATAGGAGAGGAGAGGAGAGGAGAGGAGAGGAGAGGAGAGGAGAGGAGAGGAGAGGAGAGGAGAGGAGAGGAGAGGAGAGGAGAGGAGAGGAGAGGAGAGACGGGGAGGGGAGGGGAGGAGATGAGCGGAGAGGAGAGGAGAGGAGAGGCGGGGAGGGGAAGAGAGGAAATGGGCGGAGAGGAGAGGAGAGGAGATGAGATGAGAGAAATTAAAGGCACGAGGGACGGGAGAAAGTAACGTATGCTGTTGACACGAAGCTTTATGGAGCGGACGAAGAGGCTGGAGCGGAAGAAGAGGCTGGAGCGGACGTGGCGTACCGGGGGGGAAAGGGAGCGGTGGCGAGGGCATGTGCCATGTGTGCCCGGCGCAGTGCCAGCAGGCGCAGCAGACAGGCCGCCTCCGCCACTGCTGCCGCCACCGGCACTCCTGCTCGCCCTGAGTGCTGCTGGTCGGCCCCTGTGGCGCTGCAAGGGAGGCAGAGAGGGGAGACGCATGAGGTGTGGGGGGCAGAGGCAGCGGGTGCAGCCCATGCCAGGGCATGGCATGGGATGGAGTGGCATGGCACGGCAGTGCATGGCACAGTACAGTATGGTACGGCTGGCATGGGAGGCGCACCTGTGAGCAGCATTGGTGGAGGGATGCAGAGGGAGCGAGCGGTGGGGGAGTCCTGGGGCTTCCTGCAGGGTGGGGAGGGCACGGCGCACGGGAGGGGGGTGATGGCATGTCGATGAGAGGAGAGGGGCGTGCAGCGCGCATGAGGAGGTGGGGAGGAAAGGGCGCACGGAATATATATATATGTTTTCAGGGAAGCACAGCAGGTGGGAGGCTAAGTGAGGGCGTCGCACTGAAAGGTGAGGAAGAAGACAGGCAGGCAGCGGACGGGAGGGCGGGGAGGCAGGGGGCATGGCAGGCAGCGGTGAAAGGTGACTCACAATGGATGCGGCAGCAACACGGCCTCCAGGCAGCAGAGCCACCTCCACTGTCGCACTGCCCTCCTCGCCTATGCTGCCCTCCCCTGCACTGCCCCACACCACGCCAGGCAGCCCTGCCTTCCCGGTGGCAGAGGCAGAGGCACACGTGAGTGCTGCAGCACTGCCTGAAGCCGCTGCCTCGCGATCAAGTGGTGAGCTCGGAAGAGAGTGGGGGGAGGGGAGGGGGAGGCGCAGGGAGAGGGAGCGGGCAGTCTGGGCGGTGAGGGCGGCGGGGCACAGCAGCGCCGCCAGCTGCTGCACTGCTGCGTGCGCCTCCCTGCCTTGCGATGCCGCCTCAAGCGTGCTGCTGCTGCCGCTGGTGGGCCATGGGCTGCATGGGGGCGAGGGGCGAGCAGGACAGTGGGTGCGAGGAGGGGGAGGAGACGGACAGAAGTAAGAGGGGGACGATGGCGGGGTTGACGGAGAGGGTTGATAAATAGGGCGAGAGAATGAGGAGAGGAGAGAGAGTTGGAGAAAGCAGGAAGAGGAGAAAGAGCGTGATTGGCATTGTGAAACCCAGGAGAGGAGGGCCAAGGATGAAAACATGAGAGTATGAAAGGATGAGAGCATGAGAGCATGGGAGCTTGCAAGTGCGGGTCCCACTCATGCTGCAGTGAGTGCCATGCAGCCAACCCCACCTGTGCACGCCCGCCGCCACGCGCACCAGCACGCATAACTCACCCGGCGCTCCGCGTGCTCCCCTCTGCGGGTTGGCGCTGCTCCTCTCTCTGCACAGGGAAGGGGGGGGAGCACAGAGGGAGATGCCGTGTGAGGCACACGTGCAAGGGGGCATGGGAGACAGGTAAGACAGAGGAGACATGGGACACATGGGGCACATGGGGCACATGAGGCACATGGGGCACATGGGGCACATGGGAAAGCGAGAGGCAGCAGCTGCTGTGTCTCACCGATTGTGTGGCAGCAGCAGCAGCAGCAGCAGCAGCAGTAGCAGCAGCAGCGTTGAGGTGCGAGGAGAGCCCCTCAGCAGCGGCGCAGCGCTGCAGCGACGCCGCCAGGTCCGCCTTCACACGGGTGAGCGCTGCCACTTGCGCCGCCTGGTGGTGGTGGTGGTGGTGGTGGTGGTGGTGGTGGTGGTGGTGGTGGTGGTGGTGGGCGATGAAAGAGAAGGCGAGGGGCAGAGGGAGGGGTGGTGTGAACAGCAGGGTGATGAGGTGCTTGAGGGAGCGGGTGGAGGTGGGGGGAACGGACCGTGAGGATGGAGGGAGGATGGGGAGGGCAAAGGACAAACGAATGAACAGCCAGCAGGAGGGCGAGCAGCAGGAGCAAGGCGGGGTGAATCGGTAGCATGGCGCACGGCCAGGTGGTGAGGTGGCATGGCGCACGGCCAGGTGGTGAGGTGGCATGGCGCACGGCCAGGTGGTGAGGTAGCATGGCGCACGGCCAGGTGGTGAGGTGGCATGGCGCACGGCCAGGTGGTGAGGTGGCATGGCGCACGGCCAGGTGGTGAGGTAGCATGGCGCACGGCCAGGTGGTGAGGTGGCATGGCGCACGGCCAGGTGGTGAGGTAGCATGGCGCACGGCCAGGTGGTGAGGTAGCATGGCGCACGGCCAGGTGGTGAGGTAGCATGGCGCACGGCCAGGTGGTGAGGTAGCATGGCGCACGGCCAGGTGGTGAGGTAGCATGGCGCACGGCCAGGTGGTGAGGTGGCATGGCGCACGGCCAGGTGGTGAGGTGGCATGGCGCACGGCCAGGTGGTGAGGTAGCATGGCGCACGGCCAGGTGGTGAGGTGGCATGGCGCACGGCCAGGTGGTGAGGTGGCATGGCGCACGGCCAGGTGGTGAGGTAGCATGGCGCACGGCCAGGTGGTGAGGTGGCATGGCGCACGGCCAGGTGGTGAGGTAGCATGGCGCACGGCCAGGTGGTGAGGTAGCATGGCGCACGGCCAGGTGGTGAGGTAGCATGGCGCACGGCCAGGTGGTGAGGTAGCATGGCGCACGGCCAGGTGGTGAGGTAGCATGGCGCACGGCCAGGTGGTGAGGTAGCATGGCGCACGGCCAGGTGGTGAGGTAGCATGGCGCACGGCCAGGTGGTGAGGTAGCATGGCGCACGGCCAGGTGGTGAGGTAGCATGGCGCACGGCCAGGTGGTGAGGTAGCATGGCGCACGGCCAGGTGGTGAGGTAGCATGGCGCACGGCCAGGTGGTGAGGTAGCATGGCGCACGGCCAGGTGGTGAGGTAGCATGGCGCACGGCCAGGTGGTGAGGTAGCATGGCGCACGGCCAGGTGGTGAGGTAGCATGGCGCACGGCCAGGTGGTGAGGTAGCATGGCGCACGGCCAGGTGGTGAGGTAGCATGGCGCACGGCCAGGTGGTGAGGTAGCATGGCGCACGGCCAGGTGGTGAGGTAGCATGGCGCACGGCCAGGTGGTGAGGTAGCATGGCGCACGGCCAGGTGGTGAGGTAGCATGGCGCACGGCCAGGTGGTGAGGTAGCATGGCGCACGGCCAGGTGGTGAGGTAGCATGGCGCACGGCCAGGTGGTGAGGTAGCATGGCGCACGGCCAGGTGGTGAGGTAGCATGGCGCACGGCCAGGTGGTGAGGTAGCATGGCGCACGGCCAGGTGGTGAGGTAGCATGGCGCACGGCCAGGTGGTGAGGTAGCATGGCGCACGGCCAGGTGGTGAGGTGGCATGGCGCACGGCCAGGTGGTGAGGTGGCATGGCGCACGGCCAGGTGGTGAGGTGGCATGGCGCACGGCCAGGTGGTGAGGTGGCATGGCGCACGGCCAGGTGGTGAGGTGGCATGGCGCACGGCCAGGTGGTGAGGTAGCATGGCGCACGGCCAGGTGGTGAGGTGGCATGGCGCACGGCCAGGTGGTGAGGTGGCATGGCGCACGGCCAGGTGGTGAGGTGGCATGGCGCACGGCCAGGTGGTGAGGTGGCATGGCGCACGGCCAGGTGGTGAGGTGGCATGGCGCACGGCCAGGTGGTGAGGTGGCATGGCGCACGGCCAGGTGGTGAGGTGGCATGGCGCACGGCCAGGTGGTGAGGTGGCATGGCGCACGGCCAGGTGGTGAGGTGGCATGGCGCACGGCCAGGTGGTGAGGTGGCATGGCGCACGGCCAGGTGGTGAGGTGGCATGGCGCACGGCCAGGTGGTGAGGTAGCATGGCGCACGGCCAGGTGGTGAGGTAGCATGGCGCACGGCCAGGTGGTGAGGTAGCATGGCGCACGGCCAGGTGGTGAGGTAGCACGGCGCACGGCCAGGTGGTGAGGTAGCATGGCGCACGGCCAGGTGGTGAGGTGGCATGGCGCACGGCCAGGTGGTGAGGTAGCATGGCGCACGGCCAGGTGGTGAGGTAGCATGGCGCACGGCCAGGTGGTGAGGTAGCATGGCGCACGGCCAGGTGGTGAGGTGGCATGGCGCACGGCCAGGTGGTGAGGTAGCATGGCGCACGGCCAGGTGGTGAGGTGGCATGGCGCACGGCCAGGTGGTGAGGTAGCATGGCGCACGGCCAGGTGGTGAGGTAGCATGGCGCACGGCCAGGTGGTGAGGTGGCATGGCGCACGGCCAGGTGGTGAGGTAGCATGGCGCACGGCCAGGTGGTGAGGTAGCATGGCGCACGGCCAGGTGGTGAGGTAGCATGGCGCACGGCCAGGTGGTGAGGTAGCATGGCGCACGGCCAGGTGGTGAGGTAGCATGGCGCACGGCCAGGTGGTGAGGTAGCATGGCGCACGGCCAGGTGGTGAGGTAGCATGGCGCACGGCCAGGTGGTGAGGTGGCATGGCGCACGGCCAGGTGGTGAGGTAGCATGGCGCACGGCCAGGTGGTGAGGTAGCATGGCGCACGGCCAGGTGGTGAGGTAGCATGGCGCACGGCCAGGTGGTGAGGTAGCATGGCGCACGGCCAGGTGGTGAGGTAGCATGGCGCACGGCCAGGTGGTGAGGTAGCATGGCGCACGGCCAGGTGGTGAGGTAGCATGGCGCACGGCCAGGTGGTGAGGTAGCATGGCGCACGGCCAGGTGGTGAGGTAGCATGGCGCACGGCCAGGTGGTGAGGTAGCATGGCGCACGGCCAGGTGGTGAGGTAGCATGGCGCACGGCCAGGTGGTGAGGTAGCATGGCGCACGGCCAGGTGGTGAGGTAGCATGGCGCACGGCCAGGTGGTGAGGTAGCATGGCGCACGGCCAGGTGGTGAGGTAGCATGGCGCACGGCCAGGTGGTGAGGTAGCATGGCGCACGGCCAGGTGGTGAGGTAGCATGGCGCACGGCCAGGTGGTGAGGTAGCATGGCGCACGGCCAGGTGGTGAGGTAGCATGGCGCACGGCCAGGTGGTGAGGTAGCATGGCGCACGGCCAGGTGGTGAGGTAGCATGGCGCACGGCCAGGTGGTGAGGTAGCATGGCGCACGGCCAGGTGGTGAGGTAGCATGGCGCACGGCCAGGTGGTGAGGTAGCATGGCGCACGGCCAGGTGGTGAGGTAGCATGGCGCACGGCCAGGTGGTGAGGTAGCATGGCGCACGGCCAGGTGGTGAGGTAGCATGGCGCACGGCCAGGTGGTGAGGTAGCATGGCGCACGGCCAGGTGGTGAGGTAGCATGGCGCACGGCCAGGTGGTGAGGTAGCATGGCGCACGGCCAGGTGGTGAGGTAGCATGGCGCACGGCCAGGTGGTGAGGTAGCATGGCGCACGGCCAGGTGGTGAGGTAGCATGGCGCACGGCCAGGTGGTGAGGTAGCATGGCGCACGGCCAGGTGGTGAGGTAGCATGGCGCACGGCCAGGTGGTGAGGTGGCATGGCGCACGGCCAGGTGGTGAGGTGGCATGGCGCACGGCCAGGTGGTGAGGTAGCATGGCGCACGGCCAGGTGGTGAGGTAGCATGGCGCACGGCCAGGTGGTGAGGTAGCATGGCGCACGGCCAGGTGGTGAGGTGGCATGGCGCACGGCCAGGTGGTGAGGTAGCATGGCGCACGGCCAGGTGGTGAGGTAGCATGGCGCACGGCCAGGTGGTGAGGTAGCATGGCGCACGGCCAGGTGGTGAGGTAGCATGGCGCACGGCCAGGTGGTGAGGTAGCATGGCGCACGGCCAGGTGGTGAGGTGGCATGGCGCACGGCCAGGTGGTGAGGTAGCATGGCGCACGGCCAGGTGGTGAGGTAGCATGGCGCACGGCCAGGTGGTGAGGTAGCATGGCGCACGGCCAGGTGGTGAGGTAGCATGGCGCACGGCCAGGTGGTGAGGTGGCATGGCGCACGGCCAGGTGGTGAGGTAGCATGGCGCACGGCCAGGTGGTGAGGTGGCATGGCGCACGGCCAGGTGGTGAGGTAGCATGGCGCACGGCCAGGTGGTGAGGTGGCATGGCGCACGGCCAGGTGGTGAGGTAGCATGGCGCACGGCCAGGTGGTGAGGTAGCATGGTGCACGGCCAGGTGGTGAGGTAGCATGGCGCACGGCCAGGTGGTGAGGTGGCATGGCGCACGGCCAGGTGGTGAGGTAGCATGGCGCACGGCCAGGTGGTGAGGTGGCATGGCGCACGGCCAGGTGGTGAGGTAGCATGGCGCACGGCCAGGTGGTGAGGTAGCATGGCGCACGGCCAGGTGGTGAGGTGGCATGGCGCACGGCCAGGTGGTGAGGTAGCATGGCGCACGGCCAGGTGGTGAGGTAGCATGGCGCACGGCCAGGTGGTGAGGTAGCATGGCGCACGGCCAGGTGGTGAGGTGGCATGGCGCACGGCCAGGTGGTGAGGTAGCATGGCGCACGGCCAGGTGGTGAGGTAGCATGGCGCACGGCCAGGTGGTGAGGTAGCATGGCGCACGGCCAGGTGGTGAGGTAGCATGTCGCACGGCCAGGTGGTGAGGTAGCATGGCGCACGGCCAGGTGGTGAGGTAGCATGGCGCACGGCCAGGTGGTGAGGTAGCATGGCGCACGGCCAGGTGGTGAGGTGGCATGGCGCACGGCCAGGTGGTGAGGTGGCATGGCGCACGGCCAGGTGGTGAGGTAGCATGGCGCACGGCCAGGTGGTGAGGTAGCATGGCGCACGGCCAGGTGGTGAGGTAGCATGGCGCACGGCCAGGTGGTGAGGTAGCATGGCGCACGGCCAGGT